ACAGGCCTTCGAATTAAATAAATTGCTTTTTAGTTTTTCAGGTAGGTCTAACAGTAGGGTTAAGATATTTCACTTTTTTTTTTTTTTTTTTTTTACCAATTATCCAAATAATGTTTAGTCCTAGAAAGCTATTATTATCCGAACACACGAGCATAACATAGCGGTTAGCAGATCAATGAATGAGAGGGCAGCGTTACCAGAGTTGCTCATATACCACACCATGTTACAACACAGTAGGGCTATTGCAGACAGAAACAATACTGTACTACATCGATGTTTCCTGTCAGCTCAATTTTTGAGTGGACTTTGCTGTTCCGATGAGCATGAACGGTATACGAGTGGAGCGACTGAGCGGAGCGCACACGCATAGAGCTGATAATACGCAGAGCGTCACACCACGTGAAAGTGAAACCTGAGCGGTGAACTCATTTTCGGCAGCCGGAATTTCGGTGCATGTCTAATTATTGGCGACATCAGAAATGGATATTATATAATAGATACAATATTGAACATTTTAGCAATTTAAAAATATTAAAAAATGATTTTTTTACACGGCACCCCTGCTCTCGGCACCCCGGTTGGGAAACACTGATCTAAGCTGTGCAAGAATTCTTGAGATCTGTGCAAATGTTCAGTGCCAGAGACTGATAGTATCCACAGCATTGAAGAGCCATGAGTCGAGACTGCATGTGTGTGTTGGAACCAGTGCCTGCTGTCTCAGCCTGTTACTATATCAGAGGGAGCCGTGCACTGGCAGGCCCTGCTGCTAAAACAGAGCGAGTTTTTAAATAAACAGGTTGTTAGGACTGCCTGTGTAATTATACCATCCCTTGCAGTCAGAAAATCTTTATCTGACCTTCAGATGTCCAAAGATAAAGAATAACATACAGTGATGTCCTTTTACATGTTGGTGTGCAAGCCACACTGACAACTGAGCTGTTTGTGGTGGAGCTGTGCAGTAGTTCGTTATGGAGTGTGCTTTCTTATTATAGTCTTCCAGTGTATGAACATGACTGGTACTGCAAGAGAAAGAGGTGAGAACACAGGGAAGGAGTGGGGGATGGAAGGACCCATGACTCAGGCTGATGTTAGTGTGTGTGTGTGTGTGTGTGTGTGTGCATACACACGGGCAATAAAGTGTGCATAAGGTCATCACAGGATTACTATATAAGTTAATGATGAAAACATCACTGCATTACTCTGAGATAATGTCAGAAACATCACTACATAATTCTGAGCTAATGATGATGGCATCACTGCTCTACACTGCAAAAATGTCTAATACCACCTGTCACTGACTAGCAAGTAGGATCATAACTGTGATATAACTGAATACTAGTGGCTAATTTTCTGCTCAAACTTCTGGTTTCACCCGTCGAGCCATTTTCATGCATTGTTTAACATCTAACAGCCCAAGGAAACTGAATTTATGATTAGATCAGAATGCAGCGTGCTGTAACCCCTCTCTCGTTCTGCCGTAGTTACATAACCTTCAGGAGTTGAGACACAGTGCATCTCTGGCCAATAAAGTCTTCATTCAGAGAGACTACACGGATGGCACCGTCTGCAAGTTCCAGACCAAGTTCCCCTCTGAGCTAGAAAGCAGGGTAAGTGTGTGTGTGTGT